CTTCCGGTCTTATGAAGAAGTAAAAAATTGGATCGATTCGTGGATTGCCTCAAAAGATAACCAGTTTTTTCGATGCCGGATTCGTACGCTGCTCGAAAGATGAGAGAAAGTAGTGGCCAGCGATGGACAATACTTTGAATCATAAATGTATAACCAGTTTTTTACAATAAAGCCTCGAATTACGGAACAAAAACGCGGAAGCAAAGTTGTACACCTAATATGTTTCACTACTGATGAAGAATCATTAATATTTTTTACTATCAGAAGGTTTGATGACTCAGATACTACAACTAACGGACTATTATTTAATAAATTTATTGATTTACAAACTTTAGATAGCCCAGCTATATTGTTTGCTGCATTTTCTTTCTTTCTTTCACGATATTTTTGTTGACTTAGTGCAATTCATTCCCTTTTCAATCGCAGAAATTCTTCTTCTTCCTCTTCAATACGAACAACTTTTCGTTTACCCATTTTCGATTATTCTTAACTTATCCTTTATTACTAAATTAAACTTTACTTATATTTAGTAAAACGTGTACACAAATCAATAAAATTTGAATATTAAAATATAATAAGTGTTACGTCCAAGTTCTGCACGCATGGAACTGAGGGGATGAACGTAACAGGAACCGAATTTTTTGACCGATTTGGTCGTGTCCAGGCTCCGAACCGTGAGAGAGCTATGGGGAAGGACCGACACAAACCGGGAGGCGCTTCGCTTCGTCCTGAGGCTCCTAACGAGCCGGGGGTCGAACGCAGGACGAAGGAGAAATCTCAACTCGTGCTCCGCTAAGCGGACACACGAGTCGAACACACTTTTGAGTTTAAAGTGCCCAACTGGGTCAGTGTGCCATGAGGGCGCACTTTAACACCAGATGTGCCAGTGCGTTCGTATGCCCTGGCTTTCGGTCATGGAACTTAATCCAAGTGACCGGGGAGAAAGCAAAGTGCAACCGCGGGAGAACTTAAAATGAATAAAAGGAGAGATTTCGTTAATTAATGAGCGAGAATTTAATTAATATTAAATATAATTAGCAAAAGTTATTGATACGTTCTTTGGTGTTGTGTTATAAACGGAACCTCTTTTAGGTTCATATACGTATAAATATATTTACATATACCATTATATAGTTTAGTAGTGTTTTTTTGGTAGGTGTTAATGTTGGTGTGGATTTGTGTGTGTGTGAGTAGAGTCGGGTGTTATGCTGAGATTATTATCTGTTGGAAGTGTTTGGGTAGAGGAGAGGAAATCTAGAGAGGCGGCAATTCATAAGGTTGGAAGGAGAGAGGATCGATTGGAATGAGGGATGGAAAAAAGACAAGTACATCCGGGGATGGTAACTATGACTCGGTCGTTTGCTGATGGAATAAAGTTGGACATGTAATGTATTAGTTGGAGGGCATCATGGAAGAGGAGGGGAAAGGGATTTGGAGGAGAGTAGGAGTCTATTGGGAAGGGAAGAGTTGAGGGGGTGACTTCTGAGGCAGGGGCCTCTTCGGTCGAGGGTGGTGTCGGAAGAGGGCTGAACGGGAAAAGGGTATCGAAGAAATCAGGCGACAGGTCGGAAACGGGAGAATATGAGATTTCAGGTGGAGGCGATAATGGTGGAAGGAAGGGTTGAACGACAGGACTTGTTTCGAGTGTTAGCGAGTGTGGGGGTGGACAGGGGTCCCTAAGATTCTCCGAGATGACCGAGCGGACACGGACCGTGAGGCCCCGCTACTTGACGGCGACGAAGGGTGGAAGGTCTGCGTGAACGCACTGGAATGATTTTTATGGCGACGCGGCGCCTGTTTTTCTTAAGATGAAATTGTTGGTCAACAACTCGGACAATAGCTTGAATTTTTATTATAGCGTGACTTAGGTCCATTTATGATGTTTTTCACAATTTTGTTCCTTTTAGGCCTACCTTAGTGTTATTTTTCCGGGTTGATTGGCGTTTTTACGAGTTTTTCGCGGAGTCTGTGTGGTCTGTTTCTCAGTTTTTATAAGCGGACTCTTGCTCGCGTCTCGCAGGCACCAATCGTAGTTGCGGCGGAGTCGATTCTCTCGAAAGGAAAGAATCTGCGTCTGCAGGACATAACAATAGTTTATTGTTAGTTGAACTTCTGTTAGATCAACTATGGTTGATATGAGAATAAATGAATGACATTGAATGATTGCAACATGAGCAACTCTTAATGAATGGAAAGAATAAATCAAGGAAATAATCTTGAATGAATGTAGAAAATAAACAAGGTGAAAGTCATTCGAAATGCTTTTGGATGGCATTTTTCATATAATTACCACCACCTCGCCGTTACCATACCTGCTTCCTGTCGGCATCTGAGCAACATTCGTCTTTGGTAAGATATTCTGAATAAAATAATATATTAAAGTTATTTATATCAATTATTATTATTTAATAATTGTTTTATTATATTTTTATTATTTTATTACTTTATAGGCGAATTCTGGTATGCTGTTAAAGTCTTCGATATGTTAGAACGAATGGATCCGAGTCCTGAACATTGGGAAGGAAAGTGCGGCGTATGCTGTGATAATTTTCAATACATTATCGTGGAGAAGTCATTCGAAATACTTTTGGGTGGCATTTTTCATATAATTACCACCACCTCGCCGTCACTATATCTGCTTCCTGTCGGCATCTGAGCAACACTAATATACTAATATAATCATGTACGTAATTATATTATTATAATGTAATTTATTATATTATTATATTTTTATTATTTTATTTTTATATTATTTTATAGTAAAGTGTTCTTCCACTTGCTTTGATATCACAGGCTCGCTAGAATAATATTATGTTATATTATTACATTTAATTTTTGAATTTTAATAATAATAAACATGTTATTTTTGAGAATATAAATAAATTTATAAAACAAAGTTAGCGTTTACTTTATTATTACTTACAACGATATATTTTATGGTATTCGAAGGGTATCTTACGAATTTTCCGCTGCGCACAAATACATTTTTTTATTTCACCGTGTACAAGACGATTCTGCATCACTTTGACAGTTATCGTACCTATCATAACCGCTGACTATAGGCGTTCAGAGATAGTGGTCTGCTTTGTCAGAATTTTTGCGGGTTCCGAAAACCATCGAATTAAAAAGTGTTGCAACCTTTTATTGACTGACTATACATGCATCGGTATATGCATTACTGGAATGTTACTGGATTCCCTGGCTCAGTGAGGCGCATGCGCCAAAAAGCGAGTCCATCTGGGATCACTGGTTATCAATGATATAGATTGTTATTT